TACTGCCATCTTTTTCCTCTTGAGATGGACCCGAGTTCCCTTACCATCAATCCACATTACCTGAGATAATTTTAAAGCTTGGTTTCTTACCGTTTCTTACTTTTACATCCATTAAATTTTTCTACTGTGTTTCAAACTACATTTCTTCAGGTCTTTCCTCTACCCAGTAAACACCAGTATCACTGGACTCAGTTCTTAATACTTGTCATAGATATTTACAAACCATTTATCTCCCTCTAGCATTAATGGGCTTCTTTCTCTGAAAAAGCTATTTGTTCCTCTTGCTTGAGGATGAGGGCTACATTGCACCTCAACACAGGTCCTTTCAGTGGTATCATTTAATGCACCACAATTGTCCTGTGACTATTTCTTCTGATGCTTTGATTGCTTTGTTCACTTTTTTTCTGTCTTTTGTTTGTTTCTTCTTACTATTTACCCAGGTTGTATGAAGAAATCACTGTTCCCACAACCTCTACATTTTATCAACTAAATATATTTTTTATGATTTGTCTTACCATTTTTGTTTCATATACAGTAACTTGCTCTTTTATTGGAAGTTTGGGAGTTTGTTAATTTAGCTTATTATTAGTTTTTATGGTGTTTATGTGTGTGGATACATGCATGTGTGCATGTGCAGGTGGCCAAGGCAGCCAAAAGAATAACCCAGTAGATGTGCAATTACATGTGGTTTGGAGTCACCAGATGTGGGTGAAAGAAAACAGAATCCTATCCTGCGCCATGCCCTCCCAATCCCTGAGCCATCACTCCAGTCATGACATTTTACATTCTAAAAACAATACTCAAGATAAAGTTGTGATAATAGCAATATATTTTCAGTTTTGAGGAAATAATGAGGTATAGGCAAACGTTAAATTTATTTGATTGCTGTAGACACACTATTAATTTGATATTTTTAATTGCGTGATTAGCAATGTATGGATAGATACAAATTTATTCTCATTATTTAACTGTTCATATTGATATTTACCATGTTTATACCACCAAGAAATTTTAAGCCAAAGGAAGGAGACTTCTATGAATGTTGCACTATAGTTGAGTTGCAAGTAGAAACTTTTTTTTTCTATTTGCAACTTGTGTGGGAGCACAGGGAAGTGGTTGTTGAGATTGCGAAAAAGAAAGAACAAGTTTGTAGACGAATGCAAAAGATTGTGCAACAGAATTGTTTTATATATTGATACAAGAATTGTTATGAAATGTCTTGTACTCAACAATCTTATACATTATACCTTCTTTTGTATCTTTAAAATAGCATTTCTCCATTAGAAAATCAACAAAAAGTATTTAAACAATGCTTTATATTAGTTTCTAATAATTTTATTTATGTTATTTCTAGTTTAAAGAACATAATTTTAATGAACATGTTACTATTTTTGTGCAATAACATTTTCAGATATAGTTTATTTGTAACTCAGCGAATAATATATAGAACCTGATGAGCACTCTGGATTCAGTAAAAATAAATGGATATTATTCCTGATGACTATGACTCCACAACTTGAACTCATATTTATAATAAAATTTCAGGTTTTATATATAGTTATGTCTACCAAGAGGACATGGGAAAATAATGTCAAACATCCCTAAAACCTATCAAGAGTTTATCTGTGAAAATAAATTGAAACTATTGTGAAGAATCTTAGAGGAATATTGTCAGTAAATTATCTAATTATCTTAATTAAAAATATATGGGTTAACTTATTTCTTTTGTTTTAACAATTTATGGATGATGCTAGTAATAGGGCAACTAATTATAGATCATTGATTTTTAGGCAGATATTTTCTGTTTTAACATGTTTCCTTATATTTACATACAACTTTAGATTTCTTGCCATCATTTCATCCAAAGCAATAAACAAAATCATTAGTACCATAGCTACCTTGCTTGTTTGTCCAGTATTGTCTGGTAACCAGTCACATCATACAACAGTGATAATAAAATATACACAAGGCTTCATCTAGTAACACAGGTTGTCTTAATGAATTATTTTGTATGAAATTGATTATTTTTATAAGCATGAGCACACTAAGAGATGCATCAACTAATTCAGACAATATGGTACCCTGCTAAAGAAGAGTAAAATTTAAATAAATAGATCCCTGATGGCCAGTAACCACTGTAATTGTTACATTTGGTTAGCTTACACATGAAGTAATACTCGGTTTTTGGTTCGCTAGTAAGGAAATGCAAGGGTGCATATTTTCAGAGATTATAATATGAGTTTTAAATAAAATGTACCAATACCTCAAGAACAGTTTTTTAAATGTAATGAAATGTAACTGCATATGACAGTCTAACAGAAATTGTTTTTCTACTTAATCACATGAAGTGATATGGGAAGCATCATTACTTTCATATTGATTCAAAGAGCATAAGGTAATAGAAAGAAAGAGTCAATCTAATTTATTTTGTCTTTACCACACATAGCTTCAGAGCAAGTTCAAAGGCAAGAAGCCTTGTCTGTAGTGAGGTTCCCCTTAGTTCATTTTAAGAAGGAGATAGCTCACTTCTTCTTAGCATCATTATTTGACCCAGCCTTAGTGTGGAAGATTGGGGATGGGATAGGAGGTCAGAGAGTGAATTCGGTCTACTCAACCATGAAGGATTTTATATATAATCATTTGACAAAAATAGCCATAGAGCAATGACATTTCATTTTGTGAATGTCCTTAATCAAGAAGGAAGGTTATAGAAAAATGAAAATTTGTTCTATATAAAATAGCAGGTTTCAAAAATTAATAAAATTATGAGGATTATGAAAAGCATCTTCTAAACACTAAGCATTAATCACATCTCTGACATTTATTTTTACATCTATTACAATTAAATCCAAATTTTACTTGAATCTTTCTTTGCTGTTCTTATAATTCTGCAACAGTGCACATTTTAGATAAACAAGCAGTATTGTTCAGTTTGCTGTATCTTTATGAACTTACAAATTTAGAAACTTCTCTAAATATTCATACAAGTAATCTGCAGAAAGGTGATAATTTCTTATTCATTTGTCTCATTATGTTAGTATTCTCTAAATTTGTCAGGCAAAACCAATAATCATTTATTACTGATGAAAAATGTGACTGTAATCTGTAACTTTGTATTGGAGAACAAACTCAATTTTATCTAACTTTATATTTGGAAACTAGCAAGTGTATGATGGGATAGGTGGAAAATATTTTGAAGCACTAAGTCAAGCTAATTGAAGCATACAATAAAGTTCAGATATTTCCTCTTTACTCTTGACAAAAAAAATCATTAAAAAGAATGAGAGATTCATTAAGAGAAAGAAGAAAATAAAATTACTAAGAGGTTAAGAAACACCTCCACTAGGCTTTGGCATTTGATATAAATATTTCTACGGTCACAGTTTAGCATGGCATGTTTCAGTAGAATGGCACTTTTGTTTTGGGGCTGTTCATATGTGTTTTATTTGTCTAAATAAAGCCAGGGCCCAGGATTGGTGCTGACTTACATAGGCACATATTAGCTATTCAGGTAAATTCAGACCGGAATCATTTCAAACTTTGTAGTGAGCATGAATCTCAAACTACATTTACCTTTCATTCCCCTAGACAATAGTATTAGTATCAAATCTATATCTCACTTCCTCATTTTTTTAAAAAATGTTTTCCTTCTAAATAAAAGGTCAAGTAAATAACTACATGTTATTTTCAACAGTCTTTTTATTGCCATACAAGTAACCTAAAATACACCCGGGAACTTAATTCCAATAATCCTTAAGCTCCAATGTGGGATGCAGTTTGAAACTATACCACTGTGGAAGAGTATGGCATTATAGCTGTCACATATGTGACATGTCAAAGTCGCAGGGATACTATGCAGTTTCAAAAAAATACTTGTGATTGTATTTTGACAGATAAAAATAAAAGTAAACCTATCAGTAGTGTTGTTTAATAAACAGGAACATGTGAATTGTTTCTGAATGAATGTTTCTAGATAAAATAATATGACCACACACACAATTATGACAAAAGTAAGGCTTTGTTATTTGGCTTGCCTTTTCTCTCATCCTCTACCCATCAAACACAAAGTACACACTCTCATTTGACCTCTATTTGTACTTTCAGAAAATGTTCCTAAACAATTTTGCATATGGGGCCAATAGAAAACTTTTATGGTTGTTTTATACTGAGCATGAAAGCAACTTGGAACATGCAGGTGATACTTTCCTATATCCTTAGACATTCATAGCAGAAATCCAAAGATACGTATTTTATTAAAGATTGAGTAGAAGGAAAGAAAATACTCAAGTATTTTACACGCTTTCCATAATTTCCCCCATAGAGCATTCGCCTTCACTTTTCCACTACCCACTGGTAAAAGCCCTCTAAAAATCCAACAACAACTAGACTTTATGAATAGGATATTCATAACTTGGAATTTCAGGCTTAACACTCTTCTGCCCAGTTCTCGAAACAGAAACAACAGCACAGATATGTGAACATCTGTTATAAGAATAATTTGAAGTGAATGGTAGACAGAATTCAGAAACTAATACCGAGTAAGATTGACCAGTAGTTACTGGAGAAAGCAGGCTGACGATTGGTTACAGGTGTATAGGGTACAGCAGGAGTCATGACCTTTCTTTCAAGAAGCTATCCAGGAGAATCCGCACGTTGCTGCTTGGTGAAAGATTCTCCAAGAAGCAGTTAGGTCGGTGCCATGAAGGTTGACCTCCAGTGGAGACTGCTCAATGGAGACCAATCAAACAACTGCCAGGAAGGAACACATGTACCTAGGATGCTCATATATTGGAAAGAATTCTAGATAGAAGGGATGAGCGCTCCAGGGTCAGCTGGTCCCAGGCAGTGTAATCAGGGCTGTCTGGTTAGGAAACGTATTAGACATCACAGTGTGGGAAGTCCAGAGGAGCTGACCCAGGGACAAAGTTACCTGCAACAGTGGACAAGAGTACTCACTCTCAAGGCACCCTCCTCCTCCAGCCCTTCGGTTTGTCCCTTACCTTGGTTGGAGACATGACTGCAGTCGCCTGTCCAAGCTGTCAGCAGGGGCAAGAAGAAACCAAATTGCAAAAGAAATTCCCGGACTTCGCAGCCCCCCATGGCTCTTGCTGGATCTCTCCTTTTGCCCCTTAAAAAGAAGTGGCAGTATTGCAGCCAGGTGTTCCTAGGAGGGTGGGGATCCTGGTCCAAGCTCTCTTCTTCTTCCTCCTCCTCTTCCTCCTCCACCCGGCCCGCAGGGGAAGTCCCGGGGCGCCTCCCGCGCGAGGCCCCGTGAGCAGGGCACGAGGGTCCAGGCTGTCCAGGTGCAGGAGCAGCTGCTTCGGAGGAGTATGCTGCCTGCGCCGCCGGGGAGCTCCTGGCGGCTGGAGGCGAGGGGAATTGCATCCACAGCCGTGTCCCGCTCCAGCGAGGACTATTCACTTGGGCCCAAGAGAGCGCGCGCACAAGAGCGAGCTCAGGCTGTAGTTTGGGGGAGGGGATGGAAAGACCAGGGAGGGTGCCTGAAGGAAGGTACTGGGGGTTGGTAGGGATGTCCAGGGGTGTAGTGAAGGTGCAGTCTGGGGACTCAAGAGTCTCTCTGGACCCAATCTGACACTTACAGAACCCAGAGCAGGGGGGCACAGAAGACAGCAAGGGTAGCCTGGGCGACCAGAACTTTCCTGTGGCTGGCGTCTAGAGAACCGGGCAAATGAGGTTCAGCGGGTTCTCGAGTGGTCCCAGCGTGCAGCTGGCTGAGCGCTCAGTCTCTTGACTGAGTGACCTGGTCTGAGTGACCAGTCGTGGACACCACCGATTAGGTGGCATCTGTGCCTCCCTCTGCCGTGGCAGAGGCTTGCTTACTGGATATCAGTGAAGCTACCTTAGTCCCCCAATCTCTTGCGCTCCCCCTCCCCCATGTAATGATAGACTGTCAGCTCTGAACACCTTCTTCCCTGTTGCCACATTTCTGCCGCTCCAAGTGGTAAGGGTTGCAGGTCAGCGCCCTGGGCACAGCTTGACGATGGCAGTGGTGGGCCCTGTAGCGTCTGTAGCCTCCCAAACTTGGCCACCAGAGCGAACCAGCAACCTTTCCGGTTCTGTTCCGAGTCCATGGAAAACATAGGGATTGAAGAAGCAATAGAGAGAAGTCACTGCAGCCTGAGAGTCGATTGGTGCCTGGCGCCTTGGCTAGCCTAGGTCTGCGTTGGCATAAGGTGGTGACTTCCCCAAGGAGGTCACCAGCATCATCCTGGCAGCTTTGGTGCTGTACTTCCGAGGACCTCGACAGCCTGCTCTTCAGGGTCGGGCTATGCGCTGAGAGCAGCTCAAGGGTTGAGCTTTGCGTGGCTAAGTCCAAGGCAGCGCGCACAGCGACTGATGCGCTCTCCACGAGACGCCCCCTTTTCAGCTCCTACAGGCTCTCAGGTCCGGGCGCTCCTAAGTAGGTGCACTTGCGACTTGGTGGGACCCCACCCTGGGACGAGGAACAGAACTAGCTGATGGGAAGGGGTGTTACCGAAGGCAATCTGGGAGCTGTGGCCCAGCTGCCTGCCGAGAACGGTGCGCGGAGGGCAGGGCCCTAGAGCGCTGCTGAGCTTGGTGGAAGCCCTGCGATCTGGCAGCAGCTGTGGCTCGGGTGCAGCCAATTCGGCGCTAGAGGGGGTTAGTAGACAAGAAAAAAAAATTCCCTCATTGCTGGCAGGTGGAATTGCTTGCTAAACCTGTGAAAAAGCACAAGGCTGCATTCAAGCAAACTTACAGTGTTTGTAGGGTCTCACTGTGGAGACTTTATCACTGGCGTTGTAATTTCTGTAATGCATTCGTTAATGTCGTTATTGTTTTCTTTATTGAAGGGACGAATATTATCGGTCTTGAATGAAGATTTTAAAAAATCCATCTCCAAACGAGGAAGGGGTTATTTGAAGGTTTATTGATAGCATTGGAGAAGAGTGAAGAGAATTTCTACAGCACAGAGCAGATATGTTCAAAGCGGCCGGGTGGGTTCAGGTCGGGAATGGCTGTGTTGGGAACCTTAAAAGGAGTAGGCTAAGAAGAAAGGGTCAATGTTTTACCGGAAATTCTGTAAATGAAGCAGCGTTTCCAGGCATTCTGATTCTGCTCGGTGTTGTTTATGGTTGGAACTCTAGTTAAGGGATTTTTGTCCATGCCTTACAGTCAATCAAAGGGAAAGAGAGAGGAGCAAGGGACGCCAAGAATCTAAGAGCTGCTCTCAAGGAGAGAAATGTAACATGCAAGTGTGAAGAAGCTTTCTAATTGGTGACTGCTTTCACACTCATTATGAATTCATACATAGCTTTTCAAAGATGTCCACGCCAATTTAAATGTATGCAAATCACATCTTCAAAGATGGAGTTCGTGTATTAGTTTTTACAGTAGTGAAATCTGATTTTGCTACTTATTTAACCAGTTTTACTGATACTGACTAATGACATAGGCACTTGCAAATTCAATTTAGTTTACTAACTCAGGTGTAAAATAAATATCAATATGAGGACACCACAAGACATTTTGTCTAAGTAATCTTTTCAGAGTGCTTAATGACTATGCTGGTGGTTTGATTACATATAATAATTCCTGTTTTAATATATTCTCAGTGGGAAATAATTAACATAATTTCAGCATCACATTTACAAATGAACATTTAAACTCAAGTGTTAATGCTTTATTTGAATCTTAAATTTGACACAATTTATTATAAATTGTGGAACGGTCAGAAGCTATATATAAAATCATTTTAGAAGGGAGTGATTCTAATGGAAAGAAAATGAAGGGGATAACAAACAGAAACAAAGCTGTGAGTCATTTCCCAAGACTCAGGCTCGATTTCACAGCAGAATGCGATGTCTGAAACATAAACTTCGAAGTAGCTCTAACACTTGATTGTACTGAACTTCACTCCCGCTGTACCAACTGCTTAGCTCCTCCTCACTATTTGTTCAAATAAACCACAGCAGAGCTTCACATAACATGTATCACCTGGGCAGATGATGGCTGCCTTACTGGTTGTGACTTTTTAAGAAAAACATAATGACAATATTTTCCCCATATTAAAGCATGTGTCTTTATGTTTAAAAAATGCTTTGATACTGTTTCTTGCATTTTTGGAAGATAAGGAAATCTTAATTTTAAAAATTTCAATAATGAATTAAATTATGGTGACCATTTGTCATGGACAGTCTCAAGTACATTATTCAGGTAGAAAAGTAAATTAATACATGAGTTGTTAACTCCTAAACTTTATAATAGCATCAATCAATAAAAAAATTTGGCCATATATATCCCCACAAAATACACATACATATATACATTCCAATTTTTTTAATGTTCACTTTTCTTCTCTCAGGAAGCAGTTAAGAGTTAACTATTTTGTATGAATAAAACTAATTTGTTGCATAAAGTTTCCTTGGGACACTTAGCTATAAACTAAACGGGATGTCTCCATCAAATACCTAGCCTCACCATTCAGGGAGCCCTCTGTAAGAGGAGGCAGAGTGTAAGCGGCAAAGGGGATGGAAGGCACAAAGAGGCCAAGGTCCTACCTATCCGTCAACATGAGCAAAGCTGATATGAACTCATAGAGACTGAAGCAGCATACCTGGACCTGCAGAGGTCTGCATCAGGTCCTCTTTCTATGTATAATGGCTTTCAGCTTAGTGTCTTCATGAGATTTCTGAGTGTGAAAACAAATGGCTCTCTGATTCTTATGCCTTTTCTTGGGCTCTTTTTGTTCTGCCAGTTTGCTTTCTCCATGTTCGATGTGATGCCTTTGTTTTAGCTTATATTTTATTCTGCTGTTATCTCTTAGATTACCTAATGAGAGATGAAACAGGGGTGACTCCAAATGGGAGGAGATATGGGGAGGAACAAGGAGGAGTAGAGAGAGGGGATATATTATGTGAGAAAACATCCAATTTCAGTTAAAGGAAAAGAAATCATAACTAGAATAAAACAAAGTCATGGGAATTATATGTGAACTGGATGCAATTGCTAAGCAGAGATACACTTTCATTTTTGTTTTTTAGCATAGTTGTCATATTTGCTGACATGTGACAGTTTCAAAATTATAAGCCACTCAAAGAACCAGATGTAATATTCATGCAGATTTATCTGCACTTGTCTGTTTGAATCATACCCATATTCATAAAGGCATTCATGTCCCATTTTTCAGAGCTATATTGTTCAGAATTCTTTTGTATTCTTTCAGAACATTGTTCTCCAAGATATATGTAATGTGGTCTCAGGTAAGAAATGATTAAAATTTTATTAAGTGAAAGATATATGACACAAAAATTCAGCCCAACTAGTCATGCGTAGTAGAGAAAACAGTATTGAATGCTATTTGCTTTGTAAAATGATGAAAAGTGGAGATTTAACCTGCAATTAATTCCTTTGAGGAAAGACAAGGATTATATTGTTTAAGACTCAGCATGTTTCAAGCATGGAGAAAGTCTCAAGTATATTATTCTGGCAGAAAAGTAAATTAATCCATTTACAGCAGTAATTTGCATTCTCTGAGGTCAAGAAAGAAGAAACACAAATAAAGATCTCTGATGCTGAAAGATATTATGAAACACCAGGTCTTAAAGGATTAAGTTTGCACTGCAGATATACACAATGCTTGAGCCTTTTTCCTGATAACAAAGTCAGTGACTTGCTGTGGACAATAATAACATTTTATGGCATCAACTTTAAAATCTGAATTAAGGAAAAGACTGACTTGTATATTATTTAGCATACAAAAAGCATAAGTAACATTCAACAGCTAAAGTAAAAACAAATCTACAAATTCAAATACAGCTACTCTGAGGTTCTTTGCTTAGAAATTATGTACCTCTTTTTATAAGAACTTTCCTAATTTTTTTGTACAGATTGAAAACATATTAAAGATTAAGTCCAAATATATTTCCTGTTGTTCATATATTTCAAGACATGATACAAAATAAATCAGGATTAAATAAATGTAGCATAGTTTTTGATAAAGTCTATGTACTACTATATATCTACCTACTGGTTGTGATTTCTTGCTTTATTAGAGTGGGGATTGTATATTAAACTATAAGAAGATATCAAAGCCTAGTTGCAAATACTTTGAACCTTATTATATTCCTAACCCTATTGATTCTAACCATAAAGCACCAATAAATCTCATTGTGAGCTTTTGTTACTAGGGTGCACAAAGATCATTCTTGTGAGTATGTACTGATACTTATATTCCATGTAAATGACCTGATAGCCAGAGATAAAGATCCATTATGGTTAAAGTAATACGGAACTCCTCACATAATATTCATATAGTAGGCACATTAAATTACCAATAGCATGCCATAGCTCATAAGGAATATAACACTGTGATAGATTTCCTTTTCAGTTTTCCAAACTTAATGTGCAAGAAAGCATGCAGAGTCTCAGAAGTACAAATATGAACCTTGGTGACAAAAAAATCAGAAATATTTCCTTAAAAGGACTTTGAATAAAAATTCCTTATCAGACACACCTAAAGATTATTTCTCTTCATCGAATATATTGTCTGTCCTGGGTACATTATAACAAAAATCCGGTTTTCATTGTTGATACCAAAATCCCTGAAATGTGTATCAGAGAGCTGTTATTGAAATGATAAGACTGCTAACAAACTTATGTTTATGTAATATTCTTGTAAAATCTAGCTTTATTGTACACAGAGCTTCTCATTGTAGGAAGATCACAAGACAAAGCAAAAGTATACTTTATTAAATTTCTATTTGAATACTTGTATATAAACTAAGAGCAGAATCTCTACTGTATTTTTTCACAATGAAAGTAAATCACTTTTATTTAACTGTAAAAATATTTATTTAAGTTTAGCTTTCCCTTGTCCATAAATTGTTACCTGCTTGACATTTAGAAATTGCTAATTAATTATATTTATTTTTATTCAATGAAAACCAAATTCTTTTGACCCAGCTGGTCATTCTGGAACAGGAAAGATAAACTAAATGGCTTGTTACCTATAAAATTGAATGAATATGCATGTTATCACTTAAAACATTTCTACAGAATTTATTCAAATTATTTTGTGGCTAGCATTATTAATGCTACTCAGTTGAACTTAGTAGCATAATTTCACAATTCCGTAACCTTTGATACAGTATTTGATGTGAGTAAATTGTCATCTCAAGAGGATGAGCACATCTACATCAAAAGTAAATGGACTATAGGAGCCCAGTTCACATACAGGGATACTGTCTAAGGCTAGACACACAGGGGATGGCCTAGGCCTTGCTCCAAATGATAAGACAGACTCTGAAGATCATCCTTGAAAGACCCTGGGGAGCAGAAGGGGGATTAAATAGGGGCCAGGTTGGGGGCAGGGGAGGAGAGGAGGGAAAGGGAACTGGTATTGACATGTAAAACAAGCTTGTTTCTAATTTAAATTAAAAAACAGGGGAAAAAAGAGTGTGCTAACTCACTAAAAGCTGTAGCTACAATGTTGATGAAAGTATTATTTCCTTACTGTGAGGGCAAACAAATTGATCTGTATTGGATTAATTCATATTTTATGTTTCTGTGTTTTGCACAATAATATAAACTCTTGAGATTAGGA